ATGGGAATAATCTGGTTTACCTCCGACATTCCTCGATAATAATCTTTAGAAAGAGGGGGGAAATGACAGTTTCATTCCAGAAAATTCACTAATCTAACATATATTGAGCAATTAAAAAAAAAAAGACAAAAATGAGTTGGGTGACTATCTTTTCCAAACCTTGCAAAATGCATTCTAAAGCTGGTGACCGAAAAAAATCTTGTGACTACAATATCTCTCAATTCCTGTGCGTCATAAAAGAAAAATTCACATTCAATTCCTAATACCCGGTAATACAATTTACCACTAGTAGCACCCATCAACAATATCAGCTATCATAATCAGAAACAATTTTATCACAAGTTCCGTCCTACTATTATCTAATCCAGACATAATCCTACTGATAGTAGAACATTACAATAAACAGTGACAAGTTCAGTCCAGATGATAAAGTGAAATGAAAACTATGCAATGTAGCAACTCGGAGATGATAACGCCAGGAATTGTATAGTTTCTATATGATTCAACAAATTCAGATATATACTACCAAGATATAGCAGTATTATAATATCATGTAATGTAGAAAATAGTTCTAACGCTTAAATTTCTAAAACTTGTTCCAATATACCTTAAAAATAAAACAAGAATAAGGTCGAAAAATTCGAAGATTTCTGTTTGACAGTGGTAGTCCCTTTGAAATGACATTTTGTGACTATAGATTTGACCTTTCATTTTAATTTTATGCATGTGATTTTATTTTTCTATAATTCGAACATATGTTTTGTACTAGCACATGAGATCGCGAAAAATTTTCAAAGCAAAAAGGAATTATGAGTTAAAAAATTCCTGACCCTAATCTCGTGAGAAAAATTTTCGAGCCGCATGCGGCCGGTGGAAATGCACCGAATAAAGATTGAATTCTTGTAGTTACTCCATTATTTTTAAAAAATTTCACTGTATTCAGCGACACAAAAGTTGTTTGTTTTAAAAATGTTTGCGTTATTAAACGTCACTAAAATTTTGAAGTAATAGAAAAACCAATTTTACTAGCAAAACATGTTACCTTAGAATTCAGAGGAGTAAAAAATTCGTTAAAACGCGAACAGCTTCGCTCAGCTTGGTTTAGTGATGCCAACATACAATTAAATGCGCAACAACTAATTTACTTCATAGCTTTGGTAAAATAATCTTAGAAAAAAAAACTTTTTTTAAAAATTTCATTAACTGTGCGGAAAAAATCAGAAATATTGGACCACCGTTACTTTTATATAAAACCAGGGTTGGGGTTTTGGACGTCCTAAACTGGTTTTGGACAGGACCCGTGGATTTTACTGTCCTAAACTGGGTAAAACTGTCCTCAAATGGGTAAAACTGTCCATAACCTTGAACTTAGGTAAAAGGTAAAAATTCTATAGGTGTAACCATTGTACACATAATAATTACAGGTATCAATAAATATTTGATATTTTTTATACAATTTACTTTAACTTATCAAAAGAAAATAATATAATATAATAGGAAAAAGTTTATAATTTTTGAAGCTNTATTGCAAAAAAACTTTTTCAAGGAGTTTTTAAATTGTAAAGACATGCAAGATTAAATTTTTAAAAATAAACAGCAATTGCTGCTACTAAATTTGAGATGCAACATACAAATATTTGGTATTTAGCCTATACTGCTGAACGCAGAATATTCATTTCGGACGAATAAAGGAAGAAGCTTCTGCCGAAGACAAAACTTAGTTAGTTTGCATTTGTCCTTCTCCCCCTTCCTGGGAAGGGTTTATTTGATTAACAAAACAATAATGATGATTAACAAAACAATAATGATGATAAACAAAATTGTGAAGGGTCCGATTAAAAGATAAATTATTTTGTGAAGGTTCGTTTTTATGAAAAGATATTTTGAAATTCAGAAATATTCGGCCATTACTTTCATATAATACACATTTAAAAAAGAAAGAAAAATAGGTAAAAGTAGAATAGAAAATACGAGAGAGAGCAAACTGACCTAAGACCAAAATTATAAGCCTAAAAAAAAGTAAGGACAGCTTTGAAATGTGAAACGGACGTCCAAAAAGAAGCTATAAATATAGGTATTAACTAACAAGGAAATAGAATAACCTCAAGAGGCATCCAACCTTGAAAAAAGAGAGAACACGAGACCTGTTGAAGTTGAGACAAGACAGGTGATCGCATTCACACACGAGATTTTTAACCGGTTCTTTCTCTAAATGCATTCTGTGACTAATCAGTCACAAATTCTATTAATTCAACAGTTCAGAGAGGCGTTACATTTTTGGGAGATTCAATCAAGATTAATGCCAATTTCATAAAATAAATCAAGTATTTATAGAATGAATGTAGCTTTAAACTGGTAACGTTTTTTTATCCTCCAAATAATGGAACCTATCATTTTTTTTTAACAATTTTTAATTTGCAAACAAAAAAATTTTAAAATTGCAGTTTGTTTGCAAAAACTGAAATTTTATTAATTTCTGATATTTTTGATACTTTAATTAAGTTGATGTATGTTAAAATAGGTGAAATCAAGGGATTTATCACACCATTTTCCAAACATAAGACAAATTAGAGTAGACAGCTTTCTTAATTTGCCAAATATTAGATAAAATTTCATAAATTTCTAATATATTTATAATACAGATAAGCAGCATTTAAACCTAAAATTTTTATTCTATAAATTACAAAGAAATAATTTTCACAAGTTAAGAGCTACAATGTAACCAAGTCTGAGACTTGTTAGAAAATTTATAATGCAAATTAGTGACCCTGATGAGATATGAAAAAGTGACAAACTTAAAGATGCAAAATTTTGTTTAGAGAAATTTCAGAACAATGAAAACTTGCAACAACAAAAAAAAAAACTATAATTAGAATTCCAAACAAATCTTAGTAGTTTAACCAGTAGTGAAAAAATTGTTCTATTTTATAACTTTAAAATAATACTGATCAGTTCTTTAAAGACAGTATTACCCTTAGTTATCTAATAGGAAAATTCTAAAGCTCTGAATAATTTGTCAACTAAAACCTGTATTTGTATTTTACTAAATTAAAATCAAATCATATTTACTTAAAAAATAATGAGAAATATATAAGTAATGAAAAAAATATTTTTGATTGACTAAGGATAAGGACAAAGTTGAAAGTTCAGGAATAGTTCTTTAATTTTCAAGTTTTCAGGTAACATAATTTAAATTGCTTTTTATATTACAATTCCACAAGCATATCTGAAGTGTATAATACTAGATTATCATATAACTAAAGAAAAAAAGATGCATAGAAGCTGAGTACTAAACTTCAGTGAAGGAATCTGCATAGTTTTAGATGGAGTACATAACTTTTGAAAACTTTTCTCAAAGCACAGAAAAAATCTTATTTATATAAATTAATTATTATTACCAAATGTAGGTAAATATAAATATGCAGATAAGAAATTATACATTTTTGTTACCTATAGAAAATATTTTTTTTAATAATTTGAGTAATTTATGCTTGACAATAAAAATAGGCTGTCCAGCTTTTGACCCGACCAGTTCAGACCTAATCTGCAGTCCAACAGTAGCATTAAATTGCACAGTTATCTCGAATAATATATATCAAACAAAATAGCTTATAAACTCTTGATCTATAAGTGTAAAACTAGTGAAATCTCAAGGTCATAACGTTTCTAAGATTAATGTCTATTATTTAATAAATACAATATCATTTTTAGCAGTTAAATAATAAGTTATTTTAATGTTTAAAGGGGAATGATGTCTGATTCACATGATATATGCTATTTTCTTACAAGTAGAATAACAATAGCAATTTATTATTTTTTTTTATTATTAATATAAAGTCTTGAACATACTCTTCAAGAGTATGTTTGGATATTTATCTCTCACATTATACAGAGACAATGATATCAATTGAGGATAGTTTCAACACTATCCTTCCTTCAAAATAAAATATAAAATATGAATGCCCATTACAGGAAAAGACCTATGATTAAACATGTTAACTAAAATGAACTGCATAGTAATCTAATCATTATTATGTGACAATTAGTTTATTGCTGTTTTTGCTACTTCTGTCAACTTTATAAAAATAAAAAGCAAAGAAGTTATCAGTTATAAAGCATGAAGTTAAGAAAAGTTAGAAGCATTATTTATTTCCTTTACTTTAAAAGTAGAGTAAAGCAGACTTAAACGCAAAGAAGTCTACTTTACTTTTTTAATAATTATCTATAAAAAAGAAGTTTATATCAACACACATGTGACAAATTCCAATTACAAATGCACTTTGTACTTCATATTAAAGTATAGAAAATAAAATAATTAAATAGAAAATTCTGCAATCTCATAAATAAATGCAAAAGATAAATATATGTTAACTAATTGACTATAAAAGAATAACTTTAAGGAATCGCGCATAAATTTAATGCATATTTAAATTTGAAAAATTAGAAAATTAGCAAAGCGGAATTTTGAAAGACGGAAGCGGAATTTTAAGCAGTGAAAGTTATGCAGTGCAGTGAAGATTTGACATTCATTTAGGTAATGAATAATAATAATAAGGGCATATAGAACTCTATTTAACATTGATTAATTAATAAACTCAAGCAGTTCAATTTATAAATAGAGGTAGGCATTTCATGAGTATTAACGAGTTTTAAGTGGAATTAGACGGTTTAATAAAAGTGACTATCTTTAATGAAATTATTCCAAAATTGAATATGTAAGAAATAAATACTGATCCAGTTCAGTTTTAAAGGCGTCAAACTATGCAAATAAAACAGTTTTATCAATTAAACATCAATTACAAAACGTAGCAAGAATATTCCTATCATAGATTCTTATTATTGAAAAAAATATTATATCAGTTTTCAATCCATTTTATGCACTTTTAGAATGCAATAGAATTTAATAAAAATTTATGACTAATCAATAATCTAAAAAAAATCAATAAAATTTATAGCAAATCAACAATCTAAAACAATCAATCTATAATAAATGATCTTACCTAAAGACACATCACATATTAGAGCTGCTGCGGCTACGGAACCAACCGATGCACCGGCAATTCTGGAAACAACTGCATGAGGTGCATATTCCCGAAAACAACTTGCTACACCAACATGATAAATTCCTAAAAATCCACAACCAGCAAACGATAAATTAATTTTACTCATTACAACTCCTTCTATGAATTGTTCACAAACTTTCTTTCCAACAACCAACACTTTTTTGATACAAACTATTCAGCATCAAAGTCAATTTAAATATGACACTAACAGTGCGAGTGCCTTAAATTTGATGTGAATATTTACAAATGATTATTTAAAAAAGAAGATAACGATATGACAAGACGAAACGTAACACGAAATATGACAGTTTTGAATTATTCTACGCATTTCAGAATCAGGATGAATGTAAAGGGTTGTAATAGTAAACTATCACGACATCGCCAACGAATATCATGTTAAGCGCCAAAAATGTTTCGTTTTACTCGCCAAGCCGTGGACCGTTCGTATAGATGAAATATTTTACGCAAGGTAAATGATGTAAAATTGATAATATTTAAATATATTTTCGAAAATTAACAGGATAAACAATTGAAATTGATTCATTAAAAAAAAATGAAAACTGTCGTTCTTAGATACATTTTCGTTACGAATTCAATATCGAGATAAGTTTTTAACAAACAAATTAAGAGAAAAGTCTTACAAAAATTATTTTTAACGGTTTATGCATACATTATGCATGAAGTAATTTTTAATTAGATGTTTATTATTGTTTAATTGTTATATATTTTTAGATATTGATATAACCTTTAAAAAAAACTCTTATTGCGGTAAAAAGACGAAAATTTGAGGTGCGAACATTATTCTGTATTTTCAATAGCAATAATGGTTTTTCAAAAAAGATCATGCCAGAACTGTGGAGTTGGTTGTAGAAATGTTCGAACAGTATTCTGGACAGGACTGGATTACCCATTAGGCCAGACTAGGCCATGGCCTGGGGCCCCCAATGAATAGGGGCCCCCTCAGAATGGATTTTTTGAAAATAAATTTGAAAAAATTAAGAAAAACAATGATTTTTCTAATTATTTCAAAATGCCATGATTATTTTTTAGTTCTAATTTAATAAAATAACGTAAAATTTAATTTAGCATTATTTATTTTTGTTTTAAATATGCTTTCTTAAATGAAAAGATATATAAATAATTTAATATTTGAATGAATAAAAAATATACGGAAAAAAATTTTTATCTAAGGGCCCCAAAAATTTGAATGGCCTAGGGCCCCGCGTACGCTTAATCCGGCCCTGATTCTGGACTGTCAAATGAGCGCGTTTTATATTTTAAAGTTTCCACTAAATTCTAGGAAAGTATTAAGATTAAGTAATTGTTAATTTCAAATTATATATTTCTACTATTTCATGTAAGGTAGTAAAAGGCATTTTATTCAAAATAAAATTTTCTTAATAACACTACAGTTGAAAAAATATGTTTACACAAATTATTGAAATTGTGCAAAACCATTATAAGTACTTATCAATATCTCATAAGCACACTTGCACCGTCGTATTTATGAACGTCATGCAGAAAAAAAGGGGAATATTTATGAACTGGGAAACAATTACAAATGTTAAATTATTCGTATATTTTATTCATTAATTTAGTAAAGATAAAGTGCAATACAGTGACAAACAATGCAGTGACAAGTCATCTCTTTCGTTAAGAATTGTTTACAAGTAGGTACTTCATGAGATTCCGAAATTTTTACTAGATGGCAACACAATGCAGTAACTTGAAAACTGTGTCTTTTGTCACTTTATTTCCCCCAGATCTTCATGGCGATTTTGCCTTCCAATAAATCCCTCATGTATGGCATATCTTTTCAAGCCTACTCAATTTTAATGCATCGCAATTTAAAATCCATAGGTCCTATGATTATATTTAAGAGGATATTTAGAAATGTATTAAAATCAACTTTTCCATACTGCTTTTTTTTCATAAACTTTGCTGAGTTAATAACTCAAGACTCGAGCTTTAACAGCTAATTTGGCCCCACTCATCTCTTGTTGCTCTGAAATTCAAAAAATAACTTATTGAAAGTGTTAAGCATTTCTGACTTTTCGTCATATATCCAATTGAAGTGCTTATTTAATCATTCATGTGCAAGTCTCATAAAGTATATACACTGGTGTGCAAAATTTAAGCAACAAACAAGTGCGTTTTTTGTCATAACTCTACAAGAAATCATCCGATTGACATGAAATTTGAATATGATGTACATTATTTTGTACTTAAACGATGGGAAAAGAATAATGGCGCAGGAATGAATATAAAGCTTAAAGTAGGGTATGGAACAAAAAAAGACTTTATTTGACATATAGTGGCGTTACACATGATTGCCTGAAGAAGCGTAAGTACAACTGGCAGATGTTCCCTAGTATGGGATATGACCTCCCCTTACTGTAATTGCTGCTTGGCATCGTCTCTCCATGCTAAGCACCAGATTATNTCTTTCCAACAACCAACACTTTTTTGATACAAACTATTCAGCATCAAAGTCAATTTAAATATGACACTAACAGTGCGAGTGCCTTAAATTTGATGTGAATATTTACAAATGATTATTTAAAAAAGAAGATAACGATATGACAAGACGAAACGTAACACGAAATATGACAGTTTTGAATTATTCTACGCATTTCAGAATCAGGATGAATGTAAAGGGTTGTAATAGTAAACTATCACGACATCGCCAACGAATATCATGTTAAGCGCCAAAAATGTTTCGTTTTACTCGCCAAGCCGTGGACCGTTCGTATAGATGAAATATTTTACGCAAGGTAAATGATGTAAAATTGATAATATTTAAATATATTTTCGAAAATTAACAGGATAAACAATTGAAATTAATTTATTAAAAAATTGAAAACTGTCGTTCTTAGATACATTTTTGTAACAAATTAAGAATCGAGATAAGTTTCTAACAAATAAATTAAGCGAAAAATCTGAGAATAATTATTTTTAACGGTCTATGCATACATTATGCACGATTAATTAGATGTTTATTATTTTTTAATTGCTATATATTTTTAGATATTGATAGAACCTTTAAGAAAAGCTCTTATTACGATACATAAGTCGAAAATTTGAAGTACGAACATTACGTACAAACATTATTCTGTATTTTCAATAGCAATAATGATTTTTCAATAAAGTGCATGCCAGAACTGTGGAATTAGTAGTAGAAATGTTCGAAAAGTATTCTGGACTGTCAAATAAGGTCGACTGCGATTCATATTTTAAAATTTCCTCTAAATTCTAGGAAATTATTAATATTAAGTAATTGCTAATTTCAAATTATATATTTCTACTTTTTTATGTACAGTTAAAGTAAAAGGCATTTTATTTAAAATTACATTTTCTTGATAACATTACAGTTGAGAAAGTAAACTTTAAAAATATGTTTGTACAAATTATTGAAATTGTGCACAACCATTATAAGTACTTATCAATATCTCACAAGCACACTTGCACCGCCATATTTATGAACGACATACAGAAAAAAAGGTGAATATTTATGAACTGGGTAACAATTACAAATGTTAGATTGAATTCATTCGTATATTTTCTTAATTAATTTAGTAAATTAGCTAAGTACAGTGCAATACAATGTAATCATTTCAAGCCTACTCAATTTTAATGCATCACAATTTAAAATTCATATGTCCTATGATTATATTTAAGAAGATATTTAGGAATGTATTAAAATCAACTTTTCTATACTGCTTTTTTTTCATAAACTTTGCTGAGTTAATAACTCAAGACTCAAGCTTCAACAGCTAATTTGACCCCTCTCGTCTCTTGTTGCTCCGAAATTCAAAAAAACAACTTATTGAAAGGGTTAAGCATTTTTGATTTTTCGTAATTTTATCCAATTTAAGTCAATCATTCATGTGTTAGTCTTATTAAGTATATGTATCAAACCTTATACCTAGAATGATGGCAGAGGCCAGAGTGGCCATAAACCCATGTAGTTTAAATATAAGATGTACCCTTCTTTGGTATATGTAAGTTTCTTCAGTTTTCTTAAGAAAAACAATAGTATTTCAACGCAAGCTATAATTATTATTAACATAGACAACGAAACTCAATTATCCAAAAAACTAATGCATACGTATAATTGCAAAGAGAATGTTACATTCAATCAAATAGTTTCGTTAACCAAATCGAATAAAATACTATAGAATTTCTACGATCAAGTCTATAATGTGTTTTTATTAAATTAATAATGATTATATTCTGGAATTTTTGTGTCTAATTGATCTACATGCAAACAATCTGGAGCGGCAAAACTCTTAAGTCTTTCTAGGTATATAGCAATCTTCAGTCTTTCTAGTATTAAATTACACGCTCATTTCATTGTTAAAGATCCATACATAATAGATTTTATGCATTTATCATTTTTTTCTAGTTTTTGTTTAAACTCTAACATTTTTTTTGTAGTCTCACTTAAATATTCAGTGCAAAAATACTAACTATCCAGCCAGTATCCAACCATGCTACTTATGACATAAACGTAAACACACCGCCGTCTTTGATTTACTTCCTGATATTCATTACGAGAATTAGTCTGTTTACTCGGTCATGGCCACAATGACGAATGAAATTTACTATGTGTAAAATATTATCAAATATCACAACACAACCACTTCTTCCTAATCTGCATCAAATCAGTAGTAGGAAAAAAAATCGTACGACTTTGGGGGGTGTAAGTAAATAAATATCAGATTTAAAGTAATCAGTCGCTCTGTAACATTGTAATAGTTTGTCAGATGATGACGATTCAAGGCTGATTCTCACGAATTCAATATTGTTTCATCAAGATTAGATCATCTGATTGATAAGAAATGGAGGGGGTGATCAGATAGAATAAGGTATGGAGAAAGTTAAGCCACTTTAAGTGTTTTGTTGATAAGGCACACTTGAAAATAAAACAAGAGGTGCGTCAAAATCACTTTCAATTCTCAACAGTTTCGTTTTTTATCAGTGTTTTAATCCATTCATCAAGAGTGGTAACGATTAGATTAGATGCGATATTCGAATAACTTGATTTGACTGCGTATTTGCAACATTTCACTTTCACCTGTGCGAAAACATCCTTAAAAATGAAAACAAAATTTTCACTAAACTCAAGTTGGCGAACTCCAAAATATCTAATAAATTTTGTTTTATAGGATGACAAGCAGCAACTTGGACACATAACGCTATACTGTAATTTAAATGCTTACTGAAATACCATAACATTTCAACTAAACAAAAACATTATCTTCAGCTTGCCTGCAAATTTTCAAACTGACCATGTTTGGCCTTATAGGAACCAGACATTGTAACAAGCAACATTGTAACAGACATTGTAAAAAGCAACATTGTAACAGACATTGTAACAAGCAACATTATAACTGACATTGTAACAAGCAACATTGTAACAGACATTGTAACAAGCAACATTGCAACAAGCAACATTGCAACAAGCAACATTGTAACAGACATTGTAACAAGTGGAAGAATTAAAAAAATCCAATGGTTTCGACATATTCTAAGAATGGACTCGGAAAGAAATGTTCAAAGATTATTATACGGAAAACTAGGAGGGTCGAGATCTAGAGGAAGACTTAGAACTAGATGGAAGGAATAAATGGATGAGGGCCTGGAATAATTTAAAATTACTAACTGCAAGAAAAATGCGACCGATAGAAAAAAAAGTTCAAAATCTTTAAGAAATCCAGAGCTCTGAGAGGGCTAAAATGCCAGGGTGAGGATAACGATTGGCCTTTAAGTAATTCTGTAAGAATGTCACAAACTTATCTGCCATGGATCACAATTCGGCTACTATCTAACTTTCACGAGAACTCCGCCTAATTAAAATTCCAAGGTAGCCTGCTGTTATGGAAACAAGAATAAAATCATGTCTAATGGAGGAGAATTGAAGAAAGGACATGACTCTTCAAAGATATATCAAATATATATCCTCAAGTATATACTAAACCCCCGTATTCGAAGTGACTTATATTCCTTAGGACAGTAACCACCAGTCTTCCAGTCTGGTGTCTGAAAAAAGCCAGGCAGTGCCGATATTTTTTACCGTTCCTTGTCTACGAGATGGGCAAAACAAAAAATTCATTGGATTCAAGTCTGGGGAATAAGATGGCCATTCTTGAGTTATAAGATGATTAATAAAATATGCTTTGTTCTAGCTCTGTATGCTGGTGCAGAATCCTGCTAGAAAGTTAATTTCTAAAAACCTTTTTAAGTAAGGAAGCATGATATCATCCAAAAATTAGCTTTCGATGTGTTGCGATAAGAACATATCATTTTAAAATCTTAGTCTCTAAATAGAATTCAACTCACAAGATAATTTCAATAAAATCACATATTAGGTTAATCAAGCTTTAAATTGCATAAAATAATCTTACTTAAATTATAAAAAGAAATATCATAAAAATTTTGACAGCTGTGAAGTGTTTTTTAAATAAATAAATAAATAAAAATAAAAAATAGATCAAGACCTAACATTTGAAATTTGCAAATTAAAAATATTAGTGGATTTGCTTTCGTTTATATTGGTGTAGCAAGGTTTTGAAAATGTATTAAGGCCTGGAACAATAAAATCTTAAAAAATATTCATTTCAAATCCAGATCTTTGACACATTTCGAATAAAGAGGCTCTTTATTTAAAATTAAAAATTTCATTTCTCCAGCTGCTTCAACTACAAAATGTTAGATTTTTTTTCGAAATAGAATGTATTGAATTTTTTATATATTATTCTAAACTTTGACACTTCGCTATTAAATCACATTCTAATTTCTTAAACTTCTTATTTCATAGGCGAAGGGTAAATATATTTTGTAGAAATTGGCAATTATTCTCCACCTATTGATTAAAAATATTAGTAGTTATTATTATTCTGCTTGTTTATATTGCTATCCATTCGGCTTTTTAAACTGATTTCTCGTATCAATAGGAGGCTGTCCACCTTTTATTTTCACTTGATCTCTTAAACCAAATCCAAAATTTTAATGAAATAGGTTAAATAGTTCTAAAAATTATCGCGAAAATGCGATTTTTATACCTCAGAAACAATTAAACCAATTTCGTTAAAATTTTCGAAATATTAAACTCATAAAATTCAACATTTTTTCTTTGATCATTATATTTCATCTTAAATAATTATTATAAACAAGTTTTGGAAATAAGTACACAAGGATTTTGTGATTGTCGAAGTTTGTACACTATGAAAAACTATCCAATTAGCTCTCGACTAAAGTACTCTAAAAATATATCTATTCCACATAGCGAGAAATTTTGCAAGAGAATTAAAAAAATTAGAATTCGTTTTGAAATTTGTTTTGAACCATAAGGTGTTGAAAAATTAATGAAATAATGATGTAACAATAAAAATCAATGAAATAATGTTGTAACAATAAAAATTAATGAAATAATGATGTAACAATAAAAATTAATGAAATAAAAATTTAGTTTTAAAAATGTTTTATTACGAAACTAGGTTTTGTGGCTTAATTAAAAAGCAAAGAATAAAAATTCCTAGAATTAGGAAAAGAAATTAAAATTTTTAATGCTATTAAAAAATGAAAATATTTTAAAATTTTATGCATAAAACTCCAAGAAATACACTTATGAACTAAATAA